AGCCTCCCCTCCCCTACCAGCTAGGGCCAGTGTCCCTGGGGCAGCCCGGGACAGCGGCTCAGGCAGCGGCAGAGCACTTGCTCTGGCCTCCCTGGCCCGGGGCCTGCACTGTTTACTCTCTGCACAGCCGTGGAGGGGCTGAACACCATAGACTCTGCAGCCACTAACCTGGGCCCTAACAAGAGGGTGGTGGAGCACTGTCCCCAACACCCCAACACCCCCAGTGCCCCAACCAGCCTCAGTTTACCCTTTGGGGAAAGGAGGGCACAAGTAGATGGTCCCAGGACCCCCAGGAGATGGTCCCACCCCAGGAGCTGGGCTGTCCTGCCCTGCCCCACCAGGAAGAGGGCTCAGACTGCAATTCCTGCCCCCACCCACAGCAGCCCACAGCAGGGTGGCCGGGCTTCCTGCAGACCCGGGCCCTGACGTAGTCCCTTCCCCTCTGCAGGGCCCCCATTGTTCTCCACAGCCCCTCCATCTGCCCCTACACACGCACTTCCTGCTTCCTGCCTGAGAGGAAATAGAGATTTCTGGCTCTGCCAGGGAGATGCCTGTTTTTCCCTTCCTCTCTTTACATGTTTGAAGGATATTTAAAAAAAAATAAGAACGGGCAGCCGTGGAGCTGGGGTGCAAGGACCAGGGCACCCACGGGCTCTGGACCTGGGACTGTCATGGCCCCTTTGTCAAGTAAAAGCCATGCTCTCCTTTTCCAACCCCTGCCCCAGGCCTCCCAGGATCCTCCATGCCCTAAGCTGATCTGTGGGGAAACTGAGGCAGAGAAGCCTTCAGAGCACGGAAGTCCCTGGCCTACTGAATCCCAGGATGGCCCTGCAGGGTTGCCGGCTTGCAGAGTAAGGAGGACCTCAGCTCTCCCAAAGCCCCCACCTCTGCTGACCTCAGGGATCAGTGTGGTCCCCAGGAAGAGGGCACTTGTGCCCCTGCTGTGGGCAGGAGGGGACGCTGAGGCTCTAGGTCCAGTCAGCCCTGCCACAGACAGGCTGTGCCTTGGGCAGTCGGCCCGTGGGGCTTGGCTCCCTCCCCTGTACCCTTCGCAGGGCAGGCAGACAGCCCCTGAGACACCCAGGCCAGCACAGTGCCTGCAGGCCTGGTCAGTCTCTTCCCTGGCTGCAGGGCAATGGCTGGCATGGCCCCAAGTGGGGAAGGCTGCTGACCCAGCACCCACCTCCATCAACCTGCCCATACTCCAGCTCTCAGGGACTTCCTTTTCCGCCCTGAGACAAAGTGTTTTTTCCCCTCCTTGCTAACGGCAGCCCATCCAGGGGGGTGACCAGGGCTTCTGTCCAGGGCACCAGGCATAGGGAGTCCCAGGTTCAGTGATCCCCCTTCCTCAGCCCCCACAAGAAGCTTGGCCAGCTGGGAGGAGCCTGGGTCCCAGAAGAGGCCAAGACAGGGACCCACCCCGGGGCCTGAGGGTGGCAGTGTCATGTGGGCCTTGGGCTCTGTCCAGGGCTCACCTGGCTTGGCACCCGGTGGGGTAGGCACTAGTGCCCACATCTCTCCCGATCTGGGGGTCCCAACTCATGACTCCCTCAGACCCTGAGGTACACCTGCCTCAGTTTACAGACTATGCCCAACCCCTGGTTATCTCCCCTAGTGGGTCCTTCCCGAGGGAGGGACTCACATGGGTTCTGTGACAGAAGCGGCACAGTGACAGTCAGGGTGCGGGTCCCATGAGTCCCAAGATGGTGCTCACTTCATGGGTGCCCAGGGTGATACCTCCAGCTGCCATCTCCCTGCAGGGCGGGTTGGCCCAGCCAACAGGTGATGGCCCTGCCAGGCCCTTGCCCCAGCCTGGCAGGCCGCTCAGAGGTGCCCAAGCCAGTGGGGCTCCCAGCGTGGGGCGCTCCGTTCCAGGCATGCTGAGGCCTGGCCAGAGGTCACTGTCTGCTGTCCCTGTGGGGTGCTCTGTGAGGCCTGAGTGTGGCGAGCTGGGGTGCGGTGAGGCCGAGGAAGGGCGGCACTGTCCCCCAGGGGGAAACAGGCAGCTGGTGCAGCCCCAGGGGGACTTGCTGGAGGCTTGCCAAGGCTATGTGATGGGGCTACCTCCCGGGCCTTGGCCTGAGTGTTGAGGGGACAGCAGCAGAGGGAGGCCATGGCTGTGAGGAGGGGAGGCCGGGGCCTCAAGGAGCAGTGCCACAGGGTCCCAAGCGTCCTTGGTGCTCAGCACCCCTGGTCTCCACGCCCAGGGCCTCCACTCCATGCTGCTGGCCCTAGAGAGGTGGCTTCACCGTCCCGTGGGCAACTCAGCGGGCACCACATGGGCACTGTGTGCCTGGGGCTTCCAAACACGGGCCGAGTCAGGAACAGGGCTGCAGGGAGAGGCGGCTGGAGTTCCCTGCAGGTTCTTTTCTCCCCATCCGAACCCCTCACTGCCTTGGGCATGGGCCCAGTCCAAGGTGGGTGCCCTACCAGCCTCGCCCCTCTGGCCTCCCAGGGAACCCGCCTGGGCTAGGCACGGCCCGCTGCAGGGAGGGGGCCACTTCGCTGAAGCAGGCGGGTGGTGGCTGCAGAGCCATCCTGTCCCTGAGGCTGGCGCAGCCAAGGGACAAACAGGAAGCCCCTTCTCTCCGCTGCTCTGTGCTGCATCTTTCCTTCCTGCAGCCCGGCTCTCCTGCCCCAGCCTGTGGCTCCCGGCCCCCACCGCCTGCCTGGTCTACCCGCTCCAGGGGCCTGGAAGCCAGAAGCTCAGCAGTGAGTAGTCTGAGGAGGGTCCCCGAAGGCCCTGAGGGTCAGGCTGACCCGCCGCTCCTCCAGCCCGGCTTGTGCGTGGAGGGTAAGGCCACTTTGTCCGGTCACCATCAGCCGCGCAACATGAACAGGTAGGCTGGAAGCGGCATAGCCCACTGTGGGGGTGAACGGGGAAACTGAGGCCCCATGAGGGGATGGACCTGCAGCTTTCGGACCACAGCTGGCTCTACCTCGGGCGCTGAGGGTCTGACTCAGGGCTCCCAGGACTCTACAAGGACTAGGCCGATGGGGTCCCCATTGGGGTGCTGGGAGGGCAGGGGAGTGTGGGTGCCCTGCCTCAGTGAGGACTGCAGGCCTGGACAAGAGGCACTGACTCCTTCCAGAGCATCCAGCAGCCCTGAGCCGGTGCCTTGGAGGGTGAGGAGGTACCCTGCAGGGAGGGCACCTCCGGGGTGAGGAACCCTGGGCCCTACCCACGCAGACTCCCCACAGCCCCAGCCTCTCCTGCCCCTGCTACACCCAGCCTACCCCTACCTCTGCCAATGGTGGGACTTGGGCAGCAGCAGAGGGCAAGCCTGGCACTCTGGTTTTGAGCCAAGGGCTGCAGATAAGGCGCCCCTCATACACAAGAAGCCCCCGGCTTGAGCTGGAGAAAGGGCGAGCTCCCGCCCATTAGTCCCGGCCGGTCACTCCCACTGCCCCATCATCCGGGCAGGACTACTAAGACCAGGGGCACAGAAGCAGCTGGGGTTCCCTGAGAAGAAGGGCAGCAGCTCTGCAGTCCCTCACGGCTTCCCACTCTGGGCCTCAGTTTCCCTTTCTGCACACAAAAGGGTTAAGATGTAGCCGTCCCCAATACTGGATGCTTCCTCCATCTGGGCCGGGCTGAAACTCAAGTGTGGGGGCCGAGATGGACAGGCCTGACCAGGAGAGGGGCGAGGACACCCCCAGGGCAGAGGCACTAACGCAGGATCCTCTCCTGGGTGTTGGGCCTTGGGTGGGAGCCGAAGGCTGAGTGAGGCAGAGAGGCTACATGTGGGGGCTCCACCTGCCGCCTCTGCTCCAACCCCTCCAGCTCAGACCTCAGCACCTAAGAGCCAGGAGCCCTCTCCCCGCAACCCTACAGGTGGCACCTCTCATCTGTGGAACAGATGGGGAAACTGAGTCCGGGAAGAGGTGAGCACCCTCAGAAGTGGCAGGGGCTGGCCCAGGCCTGGCCCCTTCTGGCTGAAGCCCCTGTCCCCGACCGCAACGGATACGTGCAGTAGCCCCTTATCCTGGCCAGGGGACAGGCAGGGAATGTGCCAAGACATTCTGGATGCTCTCTTGGCCCAAGTTTTCCGGTGTGGCAGAGCGGGGCAACATAAATGAGAGTATTCCTGTTGGACAGGCCGGGGCTGATCCGAAGCTGTACCCTAAGAACAGCCAGGCATAGCTGGGTGTGGTGGCACACACCTATAATCCCAGCATTTGGGAGGCTGAGGCAGGAGGCTTGACAAGTTTCAGGCTTGGCATTGCAGGTATATCCTTGGCACATGCCCTCCCTGCACCCCGTGCAGCATCTGAGCCCCAGACATGGAGGCAGGGCCCCAGGGAACTTGAGGTGCCTGTGTTCCCATCCCCCAAGTCTGCTGGGAGCTCAGGGTGGGGAGAGGCTGAGCATCCCCTGGAAAGCACAGCTGCAGGTCTGCAGGGTTGGGGTATTCACAGCCCACACCCCAGGCAGCTCTTTCAAGGGTGTCCTGCCCTCCCAGCCTGGCCCTTTCCCTCTGGGTCCTGCCACCTGCCACCCTCTCCAAGGCACTGTGTGTCACACACATCGGGGGGGGGCAGGGGAGCCTTAGGAAGTCGGGGCTCCTATGCCCTAAAGATGCAGAAAGGTCCTTCTGTTGGCCACGGATGTGGACACGTGGCCCTGGGAAGACCCTGACCGTGTCTCTGTCCCCGGGGACCTCAACCTGTCTCTGGCAGCTCCAGGCTCAGACCCCTGCATTCTGTGGGGTACAGCTCCCCTCCCCCGCAGGCCAGCCCCTCACCCTCTGTGGCCCCCCGCCACCCCTCGGCCTCCTGTTTGTTCGCTGACAGATCCCCGTTATCAGCAGAGAGCACACACAGGAAGTCCGGCGGGAAGGGGCCCATCCCAATCCCGATTTGCACGGGACGGAGCATAAAAAGCCGCCCTTCCTCGCCCGGGAGGTGCCTCTGCGCCCGGTGCTGCCCGGCAGGCCAGATGGAGGCTGCAGGGGACAGGCCAGGCGGGCCAGCTTCAAGAGGTGCCCTGGGGCAGTCAGCAGGCCCGATGCTCCCGCGAGGGGAGGGTCCATGCCTGGCCCCAGGAGGTGGCGGTGGTGGCCCTGGCCAAGCCCATGTGGTATCAGGTATGCAGAGCAGCCCTGAAGGGGCGGGAGCAGGTATGGGGTCCCAATTGTCCCCCGATCTCCTGAGGAACGGCTGGGCACCTGTCAGTGGGGCTCAAGCTGGCCCATCTCTGGGTGGGACTGTCTTCCTTCAGGCGGTGGCCCCCCTGCTCGGAGGAAGGGCCTGGCCCCTAGGCCAGGATCTTTGCTTCCCAGAGGGCCCCAGGGCAGGCAGCAGAGCTTAGCCTCAGGGGTCCAAGCTGACCCTCACCTCTTCCTGTGCTGCAGCCCGGGGGCCCCCAGGACTGAGGTCTCCTCCTCGTGCTCCTGGTATGGAGGGGACTCTCAGGGACCAGAAGGGCTGTGGAGGGTCAGCCTAGGGAGGGAACCTCCAGCTCCGTCTCCAGCCCAGACAGGTCCAGAGGGGCTACCACCTCCCACTGAGCTGCTTAGGGACAGCTCGGTGAAGGCCTGCCGGCTGCAGCTCCCAGGGAAGCCCATAGACTCAGTCCCGAAGATCCCAAGTCCCCCAGTGTCATAGGGGGGCCTCCAGGCCCCTCGCCCATCCCTTTTCCTCTGCCCAGGCCAGAAGGCCCATTTTCATTGGGGAGGTCAGGAGAGGCCACACCCAGGAATGGGCAGAGGGGCCAGTGTGAACAGCTACCCCCATCAGCCCCTGGCAGGCAGGAGAAGGGGACCTCAACCAGAGGCCAAGGGGGGACAGCTTTAGGGACAAGGAGGGGCAGGGTGCTCTCTTGCTGAGTTTTAGGGGTTCCAGAAACCAAGTTGCACCTTCCTGACAGCAATGATTCCTGCCACTCTCAGATCCATCTGCTAGGGGCCACTAGGACCCCTTGGCCCAGGGCAGTGGTTGCTACATGGAGAGAGGGAGGCATCTCTGGGCAGGGGTCCCTTTCTTTGGCTCCTGCACAGTCAGGGTCCCCAAAGGAGAGCTCAGAGCCCCTCATTCCCCCTCATGTGCAGACCGCACACCCACCCGGGCTTACAGCAGGACTCAGCTCTGCTCTCCCCAGCTCCGTTTCTACTAGGCGGCCCAGGGCAACATCCCATTTCCGGAGAGGAGCTGGAGTCCACCCCAGGCCAGGGCGCTGATCCACACCCCGGCTCTGACCCTCAGCCCGCAGCGCCCGCGAAGCATGGGTGGTCCCCCAAGTCCAGAGGAGAGGCTGCCGCTGGTGCCCAGAGGTTGACTGGCCCGCACTAGGTGAGTCCCCAGCAGCCAGGAGCACAGCCGAGGGGCGGGTCTGAGGGCCTGCAGGGCAGGGGCCAGACCTAGCAAGCCATGCCAGCCCGGCTTATAATCAGATGTGCAGGGCAAACACCAGCCCAGGATCCCGGAGGTGACCGGAGGCAGGGGCTGTCCTTAGGGAGGGACACTCAGGGTGGCTCTGGCTGCTCCAGGGAGCAGTGTCCGCACCTGCAGGCCGCGGGGAGGAGGGCAGCTTGGGGTCACACCCTGGTGCCTTCTGGGGCCGGCTCACTGCCCCGGGGCTGCAGGACCGCCCCCAGGACTG